ACAGACCGACGCTTCTGCCCATGGGCTAGGGGTGGCTCTTACACAGAAAAAGGATGGAATCGATTTTGTCGTAGCCTATGCCAGCCGAACGCTGAGCTCGGCCGAAAGAAACTATTCGGTGACCGAAAAGGAGTGTCTTGCCATAGTATGGGGAATAGAAAAGATGCGGGGTTACCTGGAAGGTTATCACTTCACCGTGTTGACCGATCACCAATCCTTAAGGTGGTTGCATTCAATCGTGAGTCCGTCCGGCCGTCTTGCAAGATGGAGTATCTTCTTGCAACAATATGATTTCGACATCAAGTACCGCCGTGGGGCCCTGAACCGAGTTGCCGATGCCTTGTCGCGAAACCCGTTACCCCGTACCGAGGACTCCCCTCCTGACTCCGAAATATGTGCAGTCATAGACCCTGTTAACTGTAATTGGTATAACCAAAAGAAAGCTGATGTAGAAAAGAGCCCCGCCGAATTCCCAGATTACAGCATACGAGAAGGCCGATTATATCGCCACTTTTGGGATATTAATGACTACAAGGAACCCGAGCTATCCGATCCTTGGAAGCTGTGTGTACCGACGCCGCAGCGTACTCGAGTGTTGGAAGAGAGCCATGATGCTCCCACCGCTGGCCACTCTGGCATCGCTAAGACGATCGCCCGAATCGCCCAGTGTTACTACTGGCCGGGTATGTTCCGGGATATAACTAAATATGTCCGGGGCTGTTTACAATGCCAACGATACAAGCCATCCCAGCAACAGACACCTGGGAAGATGCAACCCTCCTCAAATCGCGCACCCTGGGAAGTTGTTAGCACCGACCTAGTCGGCCCGTTGCCCCGAAGTAAGAAGGGTAACGCCTACATTGTCATGTTCCAAGACCGTTTTACTAAATGGGTGCAATGCCGAGCCATCCGTGCCGCCACTGCTAAGACAGTGAGTGCCGCCTTGTATGACGACGTAATTTCGACCTTTGGATGCCCGAAGGAGGTCATAACTGATAATGGCACACAATACACCAGCCGACTCTTCGAGAATGTCCTGAAGGAACTCGGGATCCGTCACCGTAGCACCCCGGCCTACACCCCACAAGCCAATCCCGTGGAAAGGGCCAATAGGACCATTAAAACTATGATAGCCCAGTTCTGCGAACAAAATCACCGTGATTGGGATCAACATCTTTCCGATCTCCGTTTTGCGATTAATACATCCCGTCACGAGTCGATCAATTACTCCCCCGCCTTTCTTAACTTTGGACGTGAACTATCCGTACCCAAAACCCTCCGTCGAGACGCCGACCCTGCCGTACCGCCTGCGGATCCTCTTGATCAACAGCCCATACCCGAAGGTCAGATCCAGAGACTGGCTAAGTTACAGGAATGTTATGAGTTGGCAAGGCTCAGTTTGTCACGAGCGTTCACCTCCCAGAGCAAATATTATAACCTTCGTCGTAGGGATTGGAGGTGTACCATTGGTGACCTAGTTATGAAGCGGGAGCATACCCTGTCTTCCGCCGCCGATCATGTAGCGGCGAAACTTGCTCCTAAGTTTTCCGGCCCCTACACCGTCACTAAAGTAATTTCACCCGTAGTTTACAACCTGAGGGATGCCGCCGGTAAGCGAATCAACAAAGTCCATATCAAGGACCTAAAACCCGCATCAGAGCGCGTTGAATAAGCGTTTTGTTTTGTTTCTTCCTCATAGCCAGGGAACGACCGTCCGTGTCCATTAAGACGTCAACCCTGAAATCCGTTTAGGTAACCATTCCCGTTTCCGTTATTGCTTCCATTCCCATTCCTGATTCCCGTCTCCTGTAGAAACCCGTCTCAAACGACTCGATTAATTGCTTGAATTGTTCTAGCCGAGATGTGGAAGAATTGCCCCGTCTGATTCCCATGTTCCGTCGCACCAGACCTTGTCCCCATCGTGCCCCGCCCGTTTCTCCCTCGTCCATCCCAATCGTCGACCTTACCATTTCCCCGCCGTCTCCGTGATGCAAATGCCATCCGCCGTCACCGTCCGCACGGTTTCGGTTCAGACCGATACCCCTCCGTCACAACGTACCGTTACAGTACACACGCCACCACTACGATTGACTTCTGGTTGATCTTCCGTCCGTTTGTTTTTTTTTATATACCGAGTCCAGGTGCCGCCAGCTGCCTCCAGATGCCACCGGATACATCACTGTATAACTGACTTTTGTCACCCGTCCGTGTTCCAGTGTAAGAAAATAAAGATAATACTGCGTCTTATCTTTATTTTCTTTAGAAAGAAAGGAGGTGATGTGACGAAGTCACTAAAATTCCCATTAATTTATTCCATAAATTAATTTCTAAAATTAATTTCCGTCTATGAACATTTTCAAGACCCCCTGTAACTAATGTTTCCATAGAATTACCGTTTTTAAATCTTTACAAGAGCCCTCGTAGTTTAAAACTTTTCAATATCACATTAATGTAAATCGTCTCGTAAAATTGCAATAGTAGTAGATTTTATCAGTAAGCTGATCAATTAACGTTTTTTTGCAATAACAATTTATTTCCTCTAGGTGGGGCTACCGCCCCACTCCGGCAAAAGTACGAATTCTGATAAAACTAGATGTTTGCGATGAAGGAGCTCTCTTTTCCTGCTGCTGCCGTCAGTGCTTTTTTCCTGCTGTTACCGTGAGTTGGAGAATAAAAGTTGCCTTGCTGTAGTGCCGATTATACCGCAAAGCGATTTTGCTGAGAAGTTAATTAAGGTAGGCCTTTTTATTTAAAATTCCGTCTAATAATTCTCCCTGTAACATTCACTTCCGTACTATTAATTACATGAGCTATTCGACCGATATTTTTGATTTCTTAGTGCCTGTCAGGGTAACGAATTGTATTTAAATCCGGGGCGTTAGTGCCCTTCAACCATTTTCGTGTTAACCAAGGGATGATAGTGGTATTCGCTTGCTATCCCTGTCGAGAGTCGCAGCCGTTTCTGTTCTGTGGAAACTATGGAATCCCAGATCTCCACATAAGAGAAACTTGAAACCGAATAAATAAAATAAAATTCTCAAAGTATTGGTCGAATAATACCGCGTTAAGACACCCGTTATTTGGTCTATTGTGCCTAGTAAAATAATATTGCGGGGAGGATATTAGGCGTCGTTTTTTACAAAGGCATCCGTCATTTCTTTCTCTCATGAGTGGAGGGTGATACTGTTCACCACCATTGGCCGATTACTGATATTTTTATTACTGAGAGTAACTTATTATTTTTTATTTTTAAAACGTTTAGTTTGAACCATATTTAGTTTTATTATGGTAGATTTTTTTTCTTATGGCTAAAGCCGGCCGTTTTCATTAATAGCAAGGAATTTGTGCTAAGGGTGTTAGTGCCCACCGTTTTAATTTTTTTAAAGGGAAAATTGTTAATTTTATTTTCTTATGGGTATAGTATAGGTCATAGTTAATTTTACCGTTTTATCATTTTCTGTAAATACCGAGACCTTTTATTTTATCAACATACATAATTCTACATTTATTTTATTACCGTTATTAAACAGATAAATATATACCGATATCACCCCGTCTATTTTATTTTAATTATTATTTATTTCATTTATTTTGTAAATATATTTTTGATTGAAATTCCTGAGTTTAATTTTGAATTACGCCTTTGCTTTTTCCGTTTTCAGGGCGTAGTGATTAATAGGTAAAAGTGTAGTGAAAAACTTTATTTACTTTACTACCCCAGTGTAGGTCAACTTAACAGCGAAGGTCTATCCGTTTTATTTTTTTATTTGTACCTGGACTCCACTGAGTCTACTGAGGGTGTACTCTACGTGCACCCCAGGGCCGCAGAGCAAACTGCGATATCAAAACTGGCGCCTGAGCAACCCCTATTCGGGAATTACATTCATAGCGCCACAGACTCGCTGAAGCACTGTAGGTGAATCAGGAGACTTGTCACAGGTGAGAGAAGGGTGTGCTGGTCATAATATGTGAGTTTTCCCGCACTTTGTGGGCGTTAGCCGGCCGGCGTTCTTATTTATCGGAAAAAGTGAATAAAAACTTATTAGCTCGGGGTGTTATCAAGTAAAACATTTTATAAAAGCAAGTAGCCTCATACTAGACATATTTTAGCATTGTTTGTGCCTGTATTTCGTATCAACAACTTGTTCTCTTGTTGTATACCGAATAATATTGTAATAAACTCTATTAAAAGTGGTGTCGCACTTTGAATACCCGAAACCAGTAAAATCTAATCATACAGTCCATTAAAAAACACACAAATATAGGGAGAAATCAGAAAATTACCCCATATTTACGCACATGTATGTATTTGCGTTTATTTCCCTTTATAGCTCGTTCCTTAACTATCCCATAATAATATCCTTAGATATTTGATGTCATTTTCAAAATATTATTCTTTAGTATTTATGAAATGTCTGTAAATAGCATTTAGTTTCTTCATACTTCGACAGTATTTTTAAATTCCCGCCTATACAAACTTTACGCATGACGTCATGCGCGTGGTCGTCCTATTTTTGACACAGTTGATATCCTACCTTCTATTTTTAATACTATGAGTAGGAACGTCCAGTAAACTGGACGTGGGCACTGACGGTCTAAAAAGTCAGCGGAAAAAAATTTAACAAACCATATTAGGTATTCCAGCGAGCTGTCAAACAACAGCTGCCAATGATAAGGGCTCGTATACCTAAGGGGGTTACGACATAGCCTTCCATCTTGGACGCCATTTTCGAAATAGTTGTCGCCAAGCCTGCCAATTTATGAAAAATGAAGTAGCGATTTTTTAAAATAATATTTTTATTTTGTTTGACAAAAAATATTTAAATTTATGATTTTAGGTGTTGTAGATAGAATATATCGTATGACACAACGCGTTAGATATAACTGACTGTTCTTTTTTTTTGGAATACCTAATAATTATTATAAAAATGCAAAGCCAATAATGTGTATTTATGCAAAAGCAAAATAAGTTGGTAAAAACAATAAAAAAAATACTTTACAGGCGATCCTCATAACCGTACATTTGGTAGACCGAAAAATACGGTGTGGGATACATATCAGGAAGGTATTCAAAGAACATTTACAATAAAACCACGTTGCTCATGCACGACTAAAAAAATAAATCAAAATAAAAAAATTAAAAGCAACAGTTATAAATTAAAAGGTAATGCATTAAGATTACTTATTTTAGACATAAACCAAATTTTTTTGTAGATTTAATGTTATTTATTATTATTTTTCGAATAATAAGTTGGACCAGTTAGGATGTTCTCAGGCTTTGATGAGATTCTGTAAATCTTCTGAAAAAGCAGCAATTTGTTTTTTATTTCTTTTAGGCTGAAACTGGTTGCCGTTTAAACTTAAAAAAATAAATTATACGTGGGATCAATTTTGTATTTTGTATCTCATTATTAAAGATGAAGATAAAGAGCCCCGCATACTGCCTGATCAATTCAAATGCGGGATTTGCTGGTTGCGTCGTCTCTAACATCCATCTCTTTTTATCGAAATAAACAATATCAACTGAGAATACATTGAAAAAGTTGTTTCTAAATTCGGATACGCGTATATAAATACGGTAATAGAAGCGAAACGACGTTAGCAAAAAAACTGTGTTTTACCGTTTTTAAAACTATATACGCCAATATGACGAAAACTGTGCAAAAATTCGTAAAAATTTATTCTTGATTATTATTAGGCAAAAGCTTAAGGATTCTAATAGTTTTCAAATCATATTTTTATCATAAGTCATAAGCGAGATAATTAAGGTAAACTAACATTATGTCACAATATGCTTGATGTACAGAAGAATATAACTTATTAACATATTTATAAGTGCGAAAATTGCTTACAGGAATTTAAAGTGGTAGATATATTTTGTATTTTTTAATTTATTAAAAGTCGGGATAAAAGCTAAAAGATGTGCAAATTTTTATGTTCTAATAAAAAGTTGAATTATAAATTCAAATTACTAATTAAATTTAATTTTTTTAAAAAATTGTTCAAATAAAAGTTGTTTGTAATATCATTCTCTATAATTCTTATTCCACACAAAATTTCTCTAAAATAGACCGTATTCGATTTATTTAAGAAAACGTAAATTTTCGTTCAAGCTGACGGTCCTCTTTCAGGCAGTGGGCCCTCGTTCGGGCAGTGGGTCCTCGTTCGGGAAGTGGGTTCTTGTTTAGATTTTTTGTTTGCAGATTACATTATAAGGTTTATTGACAAAGTCCAAATTGACATAACATTTATACCTAATACTTAATTAGGCAGGATCGGTTTCGTGGCCAATATAAATCAAACAATTTTTGTCATAAAATATATTTATTGTGTTATCTTGCTTGTTGTATTTTAATATTCACTGTTAATGTAATAAACTTATAAAGCATTGTATGCTTAACTTTAAACCTAAGAAATTGCATAGGTACCTACATAAATAATCTATCTACTTTTGCAAGTTTTGGTCAAAAATTTGTTTAGGTAAACTTTAATACGATGGAAATTAAACATATTTTACTGAAGTACATTGCTTTTAAAATTCTATGTGATAAAATGTTGTTCCTAAGTTATGTTCATAGGAAAAATTGTATACATAACTCGTTGAAAATCGTTATTTCTGTACTCTCACTTTCCAAATTAGTTTTGGAATATACCATTTTTTTACTTCTTTTACGCTTCTAAAAAAATGTATTGCATTTAACTTCTCCCAAGACATAATTAAAAATAATAATTTTTTAATGGGAGGAACTTCCTACAACTAATATTTCTAAAACCATTACACATAATCTGGTGGTCTGCGCATCGCAGGTTCTGTCTCCGACCTACGTGTGGTAGCAGTTCTTGCTTACAACACTGAGTATCTAACGCAAACCACATAAAAATAGTACTAAAATTACTTACGTCCTCCAATATTGTTACAGGTTCTTTTTCTTTTTAAAGAACAACACAAATAGTTTTTATTAATTTTAGATTTTCTTTTTGGATTTATTTATTTTTAAAAACTAAATATACAACAACGCAATCACCGCACAGTCACAGAAACAATAGATGCACACGTTATGCAGTCAAATTTAGTATAACCTACTGTTATTGTATTGTACTCTTAGGCCCGGTTTTTCAATGTAATGTTAACTTGGAGGTTAACTAACTTCTACTTGAAGGTTAACTTTTAGTTAAAATAAGAAACGTTTTTTAATGTAAATTGTACTTCTTGTTAATTGACCTAGATTTTAATTTGGCAACGTTGTATTTTTATGTGTTCTGTGATGGTTCTGTGGTATTCTCCCGGTGAATATATTGCCTTTCATCGTGGGTATTCTAATGTTGTTTTCCTCGATGAATGACATATTCAAACTAAAAAAGAAAGATAACTTATAAAGATTTAAGAAGACGCCAAATTTTCAATTCTTGGAATTTGGAATGTTTCTATAAATCTATTCAAGAATCTATTATTTAGGCAGAGACAACATTTAACTGTAGGTCCCGAACTTCATCAATGATCATCTCAACAGTCCGCTTCGACAATCTAAATATTTTGAAAAAATCTAAACTAACATATTGTTCCATAAAATTAAGCCTCTGTCGAATTATTTTTGGCCTTCTCACTATTTCTTCCTCTTCGCTATTGTAGACATTAACAATATTTAAAGCATCCATAATGTCAAAGCACATGTAGGTTATAAAGTGAAGATTATCTCTTAACAATGGGTTAACAGTACCCTGAGAGTAAGGTTAAAATTAGCTTTCGGTTAGTCTTTAACTATCAATTGAAACAGAAATGTTTTAGTTAACATTCAGTTAGCTCAAGGTTAGAGTAACTACACATTTAAAAACCGGCCCTTAGTACTTTTAGTAATTAGGAATTTTTAAAACAATGGGCGTGTCAAGCGTTTGATCTCCTTTTTTCTTTTACCCTGTTCTTTAGTACCCGGTCGGCGTAATAAATAATTATCATAGGAAGGTAATAGGTAATTAGTAAATTATATTTCTTGTTTGGAACTAAGATTTCTTACAAAACCATTTGCTCAAATTTAGGTATATTGTTTATAAAAATTCTTTACGGATTTAAAATTATTTTTCCAACGAAGAGATTCTAATAAAATACATGCATTTTAGCATTGTATTCATTTAATTTAGTATATAAGTAACTAATATTTAATGTAGCCTTATTATTTATATAGTCCGTAATAATTATAATTACAAGATCGTTAATTGTATATGTGTTTCAATAAAATATCTACGCTTAGCACTTTCAGTGTTATGTTTTCCAGTGTATGCTGAGAATCCCGTCTCTAATGGTCTACGTATTACTTAGTTCTAAAAAAATCCGCCGGGTTTTGCGATGGCAGCAAAAATCAGTGGCAATTACTTAAATTTTATTTTGATCATATCTCTCTTATTTGGTGAGAAAAAATTCTCCGGTTTTTTTTAATCGGTTTTAAATTTTACTTGTAAAGGAGGCTGTTTTTTAGAATTTCAATTTTTATCGTAGTTTAAAAAATAAAAATTTCATAATTTTTTTTTCAAAAATGTAAAAAACACGCTCCAATTGTATAAAAATTACCAATCGACTAGTGAAAACAAAAAAAATATATTTTTAAAAATAAGGACGTTACGGTCAAAAAACGAAATATATGTGGTGTGCGGGGCTCTAAATAGTGAATATCCTTCTCGATTTTAATAATAATTCTAAAATATAAATGTATGTTACCTACTTTTTATCCTCTAAATACATGGGATATACCGGCATTGGAAACATCTCCCTATAAGGGTATTCGGAAAAACGTGACATACTCGCGTTTGTAATTTTAAACACACTAAAGTAAATAGTTTACAAAAGAAAGTAAATCAAATGAATTCTTAAATGACTGCAGTTCTAGTAGGTAGTAGTGTAACGGTATTACTGATTACAAAAAATTTGAATATCAGTGAAGATAAGTTAAATTACAAACCATAGGCGGACATTCAATTAATAAACAGTGTCATTTATACAGTATGTCGCTAATGTATGGAATAAATTCATTATTTCTAAAATAATCGACTTTTGAAAAAAATCCAAAAACAGATCAATTTTAATTTTTGAATCGTCATCACATGATGTAGATGTAACGAACATTACGTCACCAGTATTACCGTGGTGACGTAATCGGCAATTTTTTTAAATGCAACCATGTGTCTCAAAACACCTCATTGGAAAGGTCTTCTAATCGTCTTTACAACGATGTAATTATTTGAATATTTATTTCTACAGGGTCGACCAAAACTGTTTATTTACTAAAATACATAAAACTGTTTAGTAAAAAACAATTAAATTATATTAAATGTTCAAACTGATGACCTTCAGCAATAATGCAATGAGACAGCCGAGCAGTAAATTCGTCTCTAACGTTTACGAGAACTTCAGGCGTTATTTGTGCAATCTCCGTTCTGATGCGATCCTTCAACTCTTCTATATCATTTGGGCGACTTTGATAAACTTTGCTCTTCAAGTATCCCCATAAAAAAAGTCTAAGGGTGTCAAATCTGGCGACCTTGGTGGCCATTCGATCGTTCCTCTTCTTCCTATCCACCTATCTGGAAAAACAGCATTTAAGTAGGTTCGTACATCAAAGGCGTAATGTGGGGGTGCCCCATCCTGTTGAAACCACAAATCACATCTATTTGGAAATAGTTGATTTAATTGTGGTAATAGATAATCCTGAAGAAATTAAAGATATCGAGGACCGGTCAAGTTTCCTTCAAAAAAATATGGCAACAGTAGAATGGTGTAAATTATTATCCAGCGCAACTTGTCTCGTGCTGGTGTGGGGTCTTTCTTGAAACTCTAGTAAAACGTTAACTTTTTTGTCTTCGGAAATTGACTTTCTACCACTTTTGGGGAGATCTTTAACATGGCCCGTTTCTCGAAACTTTTTCTCGATTTTACTAATTGTTGATTGAGAAATGGGTTCACGATTGGGGTATTTAGCATTAAATAAATTGCCAACTTCTCTCTGTGTCCTTACTCTATCTCCATAGCCAATCATCATTAATATTTCGATTCGTTCAGTTTCTGTAAGCTTCATTACTAAATTATGCTAATTTAAAGATTTTAACTACATATTGAACACT